AGCGTTACATATTCAAATTGACCAGTGTTTTTGTAAAGTTGACCACTGGAGTCTGAGTCCTAGGTGGCAGTTGGGTCCTCTGGGAAGAAGTCGCAGGGACAGAGCGAGGAGCGTAAGAGGTTTATTTCGGTGGTGGTGGTGGTGGTGAGGGGGGTGAATTCATGCTTTGAAAGATAGAAGGAGGAGGCAGGTGTGGACTGGGAGAGCCTCAAGCCCTGTGGCACCTGACAAAGGCTGGGCCAGTCAAAGAGAGGTTTCTGGAAACAAAGATGGCTGGCTAGAGGAGCCCCGCATCCCCACAGTAGAAATGGCCCGGCCCCAGTACCCCAACCGAATGCTGGCTAGTGTGGGGCCTCCACGGCCACCCCTGTGGCCCCACTGTTCACATGTCCACCGTGCCAGGTCTGGGGTGGCCAACAAAGGCCAGCGGGGTCGTTGGGTCAGTCGGCTGTCCAGTGTCTCTTATTCCTGCTCAGGCTCGACCCTGATACCCCACATTTATCTCAGGGTGGCCCGCTGCTGCTGGCCCGCCTGACGTCAGGACCCACAGGTCTGACGGACAGTCCGGGGCCCTGGGCTCCGACGGTCCCCCGTTAAACAGCCGTCTCCCCGAAGGCCCACCAGTGTGCCAGGAGCTGCTTTTCAGAAGGGGAAGTCTCTGCCGTCGGTGGCCCGGCGGCCTGGCTCCAGAACCCGCAGGGAGGGCCCCCCGTTGTGATCCTCCACCGCCCTGGCTTGCCATAAACTCCACACCTCATCTCTTTCCTTCAGGGACCCGCCCACTGTCGTCAGCACGATGGGGTCCGCAGGATCCTGTGGCCCAAACCGCAGGGCTGCCCCCCACCCCCCGCTCCCCTCCCAGGGCTTGAGAGCCCTTTTCAGCTCCGGGCCAGCCTCTGAGCTGAGGGTCTGCCCCATCACCCGGTGCGTGAGCCCAAAAAGGGTGTCTGGGTGTGAAATGTGTTGCTTCCAGAACGCAAAGAGGCCCACCGGGCCTCGGGCTTCCTTCTAATTCTCAGTAGTCTCTGGTATAAAGAGGAAGCAATTTTCTGGGCTTTGGAGGGGATGTCCCTGCCCGCCCCGACAATAGGATCTCTTAAACATTGTGCTGTATCACTGTAGGGTTTACCTCCCTCTCCGACGGCGGGGGGTGGGGGGGTGGGGGGCGGGGTGCGGGCCAGGGGGAGTGTGTGTCTCTTTATGGCCTCTGGTGGGCCTGCCCCCCATCCCCCAACTCATCCTGCCCCATCAGCGTGATGCAACAGAGGGAATGGATCAATCCTAGGGTCCGTGGCATGAGCGGGTGACCCAGGCCCTTTGGTCCAGAGACACGAGGGGACGGGGGGGTGGGGGGAATGTTCTCTGGGGGCCAGATGTCAGCGTATACCTGTGTTTTTCTTTTCTCCCCCCTGAGGACTGTCTATCCTTTGTCCTTTTTTTTTTTTTTTTTAAGATTTTATTTATAGTTTGACAGAGAGAGACACAGCAAGAGAGAACACGAGCAGGGGGAGTGGGAGAGGGAGAAGCAGGCTTCCCGCTGAGCAGGGAGCCCGATGCGGGGCTCGATCCCAGGACCCTGGGATCATGACCTGAGCAGAAGGCAGACGCTTAACGACTGAGCCACCCAGGCACCCCTATCCTTTGTCCATTTTCTGTTGCGTGTTCAACTGTTTGGTATCAATTCCTAGGATATCTCATTAGATCAGTGGATAGGATAAACAGAAACGGATGCCTTGCTTCAGTCAGTCGAGGGGACGCTCTGCTGGCAAAGGAGGGTGGGCAACCCATTGAGAAGAAATCCTTTGCAGGGTTTGTAGAAAGTTCAGTTCAGGAAACAATCCTAGACCCAGGACGATTTGTTGCTCCGTTTTTCTACCGGAGACCGTAAGGTTTCTCGGGGTAGGAGGCACACCTGTCATTCGGTCTTGGCACATAGCAGTCATTCAAGAAATATTTCTTGCACTATGGATCAACCCTAATCTGTAACACTCGTAGCCTCCCTCCCCGCCCCCCGCTCTCAGTCACCCCAGGAACCTAATTAAATGTTCCAACCATCGGATCCCAAAGTTGCTCAAACCTGTTAGGAGTTGGGGAGAAGGAAAAGAAATGAGTAGGAAAGGTGATGTTCAGAGTCTCGTGGGGATGAGGCACGGAGAGGTGACATGTGGCTATTTCTGTTGGCACCTGAAGGGACCGATCAAAGGACGCATCACGACACAGGGCAACAAACCAGGAAAACGAGAAGAGATTCTGGGGTGGATGTTCTAGATTTGAGTGTCTGTCTGTTTTTAAGTTTCAGCCTATGGGAGGAAAAGAAGTCTCTTGTAATCAAGTCGAGACAGTCACAGTTTCCTCCCCACGTGGGCTGCGGTTTTGAAGGAGGATGCGTACTGGGTGGAAGGATTCTGGATTCTCATCGTTAGCTAGATTCATTTTCCGTAATCATGAGTCCTCCTGGAGATTTTAACCCTAATCTGCCCTAGAATTTATAGGAGTGTAAAAAAGACCCGATGGTTACAGGTTGAGAGAATCTGCAGGAACCATGCGTTTAAGGAAGAATCACTGGAAATCTCTGACAACAGAAAGGTATTTAATCAAGAGTACATTGTGAGTGCTCAACAAACGTCTTCAAGGTGACTGCAAAAACCAGGAGAGTCACAGGTGAGCAGGAACTCTCGGTTTCTACTGTGGTCACAAAGCCACGTGCAAGTGCAATCGTCAGTCAGGCCTTTCTGGCATTCAGGCAGAGGACTAGCAAAAAGCCTGAAGGGGGGCGTTGTCTCTGGGACGAGACACAAAGCCGGTATGTTTATACCAGGTGTCCGCAAGCTACAGCCGGCCAGCAAATTTGCCCAGGCTTGTTTGTGGGTTTTTTTGTTTCTTAAGATTTTATTCATCTATTTGACAGAGAGCACAAGCTGGGGGAGCAGCAGGCAGAGGGAGGGAGAAGCGGGCTCCCCGATCCCAGGACCCTGGGATCACGATGACCTGAGCCGAAGGCAGATGCTTAACCGGCTGAGCCACCCAGGCGCCTGGCCAGGCTCGTTCTTGTATGCGGAGAGCCCACAACGCATTTTACATTTTTAAAGGGTTGTGAAAGAATAGGTCACGCAGACCTTTTGGGGCCCTTGAAGCCTAAAAACCATTTACTCTCTGGCCCTGTAGAGAGACAGTATGCCGCCCCATTAACTCGGAGGTTAATGAAACTTTTTACCTTCGTGCAGGATTTTGAAAAGCACGGTTAAGGGGAAGATGGGCGGCCTGTGTGCGCTCCTCCATCACATTTAAAAATAACCGCGGTTTAAAACACGAAGTAAACTGCTTCAACCCCAAAGGCAGGAGCAAGACGAAAGATCGATGGTATCCTGGGGGCGCCTGGGTAGCTCAGTCGTTGAGCGTCTGCCTTCGGCTCAGGTCATAATCCTGGGGTCCTGGGATCGAGCCCCGCATCGGGCTCCCCGCTCGGCGGGAGACCTGCTTCTCTCTTGCTGTCTCTCTGTGTCAAATAAATAAAATCCTAAAAAAAAAAAAGAAAGAAAAGGGGATGGGATCCTGACCAGTTCCGTATCCTCCCCAGCCGCTAGAAAAAGACAATTCCTCCTGATTGTCACCCAAAGGCAAGAAAAAAACAAAACATAGAACTCTACTGACCAAGAAACGAGTCCATAGAAGTTTTTACTGTAAAACAGTATTTACAACCTGAGGAGCAGAAAACAAAGCACTTGAGAAAACCTACTCAATACGCAATAGCAATAAAAACAGTCTGTCATTAGGTACCAAACATTTAGGCCCCGAAGGGTACACCGTTCCTGGAAGTACTGCAATACCAGGTCGATGCGCGGAGTGGACGGAGCAAGCTCCTAGTCCATCTCCCGGCTCCAAAAATCCATTTAATATATTGTCCTCGGTAGAGGACGTATCAGATATTAAACTGATAAGAACAGATACTACACTTGATCTTAGCCAAAAGGCCGAGAAGCGATGCCCGACGCCCCGCCCTCGCCGCCACCGCCCCGGCGCCAGCCATATCGCACTCACGGTGGGCCAAGTCGCGCTCATCCCACCGCTCGCTCCCCTCGCTTCTCGGACAGTGCTATGGCAGTCACCGCCCTGGGGCACAGTTTTTAGTGCTCTACATTTTAAAAGGGGAACGGTGCGTCTGGCGTTCCTCCGTCGCTCGCCCCGGAGCGCCATTTCTAATTTGAATGCCCCGCCCTTTCCGCGCAGGGAGGCGTGGCCGCGCCGGAGAGGAACCTGGGCGGCGGCCCAGCTCCCTCCTCGGTGTAAAGCTTTTGCTGGCCTGAGGGGAGGACCAAGGGAATTGGGGATGTGTCGGGAGAGGGGGGCTGTGGAAGGGTCTGGGGCAGAGTGGCCCGCGTTTCCAGGACACTCGTCGGGTCATCACGGTAGGACCCTACAGGCTTCCTGGGTCCAGGCCGCTGGGAACCAACCCAGAAGCGCCCGGCTGGGGTCCCCTGCAAAGGGCTCCAGAGTCAAGTTGGGACCCGAGATGGGGCCCTGACAGGGTGGCCACCCTGCCCCATCAGCAGGGCCCGTGGGCAAACTACCTCACCTCCTGAGCCTCCGTTTCCCCAGTGGAGAAGTGGTAACCTTCGGACCTCCCGTAAAGGGATTTAGGGAACGCAGACGTAGCTAATGAGGTGACCTTGGTGGCAGTCATCTAGAATATGGGTCCTGGGTCCCACGAGGCACCGCTGAAGAGATGGAGCGATGTACGCAATAAAATAGACACGCTTCTTGTTTGGGTCACACCCGTGCTCAGTGCTTTCTTCATGTCCGACTTGCAAAGTTTACCTACAGATGGAGCAGTTGAGGCACAGAGGTGGAGCAACTCGCCCACGACCACACCGTTGGCTTAGTGGAAGAGGCCGGCTGGGCCTGGGAAGCCGAGAGCACAGGGCCTAGAAAGGGCACCAAGAAAGGAGAAGAGCGATTCTTTTTTTTTTTTTTTTTAAGGTTTTATTTCTTTATCTGACAGAGCGCGACAGCGAGAGAGGGAACACAAGAGGGGGGTGGGGGGGGGGAGAAGCAGGCTTCCCGCTGGGCAGGGAGCGCGGTGCAGGACTCGATCCCAGGACCCTGGGATCATGACCCGAGTGGAAGGCAGATGCTTCACGACCGCGCCACCCAGGCGCCCCGAGAAGAGTGATTCTTGTGTGTGCAGCCCCCGAGGAGACTAAGTGTTGCTGAGCCCGACACACAGGTCTTCTTCCCGCAGACGGGCCGGAAGCCGCCCTCTGCTGCAGCACCCGAGAGCATGGGCTCCGAATCCCTGGCCTCTAAGCCCGGTTCACCTAGTGTGACCTAGTGTGTTCCTTGGCCTCCTCGATTCACCCTCCCCCTTCCACCTGTTATCTCTAAACTGGGAGATGATGACATGAGAAATTATCGCACATCATTATTGGGACTGACGGGACATGTTTGGGATATAGAACATCTGGGAGAGCCAAACACAGGGAAAGTGTCTCAGGCAAGTCACTGCTCCGCAGCCTCCTCATGTAGAAAGTGAGAATATGAACAGCCGGCATAGACTCCTGGGCTTCATCTTCCCTCCTCCAGCCAGGGCCCCGGCTTCTCCCTTACCTGGCTTTCTTTTATCCCGTAGCACGGGATCCCTCCACGTTTAAACACGTGTCTATTGCCTTTTAGCTCAACAGCGTGTAAGCTCTAGAGCAGGGATCTTGGTCTGTGTTGTCCACATTTACATCTCCAGCGCTTTGAACAGCACCCGGACGCTTAGTCTATGTAGTCGAATAACTGAATGAATAAATAGTATATCGGGGGATCCGTACATATACAAAGGGATTAGCAAACCTCTTGTGGCTTGTGATACTTAGAACCTTCGCTGTGTTCTACTACAGTTCTGCTCGCTCTCACGCTTACGAGGCCATCGTGTGCTCGCTAAGTTAACTTTGCGGGCGTTTTTATCTTTAGAATGAGGTGCTTCGGATTGCAGAGCTGCGTGTTCTGTCATGGCAAAGGAGTATTTCCCATGGTAAAGTAATGATTTCCCATTCTAGGGGGCGCCTGGTTGGCTCAGTCGGTGGAGCACGGGACTCTTGATCTCAGGGTCTGAGTTCAAGCCCCATGCTGGGTGTGGAGCCTACTTAAAGATGAATAAATAAAATATCTTTAAACATGATTTCCCGTCCTAGTTCCTGCACCGGCTCCTTGTGAGTTTGGGTAACGTGGGTGTCCCTTAGCCAGTTCACATCAATGGCCACAGACCAAAGTGCTCGCAAAGTTAGGGCCACACCAAGATGTGACGGTCAGGCCCTTGTCCAAATGTCCTGCAAACCCCCCAGGGACCCCCTGACTGTCGCTTCAGGGGAGTTGGGAATGATAAGCCGGGGACAGAGACTCGAAGAGCACAGCCAGCTTTCTCGGCCGGCGCCTGTTTCCCACAGCCTTGCCCAACCGTCCCGTTATCAGACTCTCGCGTAATATAATAGCCAGTTGTGTCTTTACGAGCAAGGTTGTTCATCTTTCCGTGTGGTTAAGATCCGCTATTGTTTTCTGTGAACCCAGTGTTCATAGTCTTTGCCCATCGTCCTTTGACTTGTTGATCTTGTTTGCATTCCCACCTCTAGTTCACTTCGTATTTGTCCTAGTATATGAGTTCCCGTATAAATCGGACTTTTTTTCTGGATGGCTACCCAGTTGTCCCAGCATCATATATGGAATGGCCCATCTAATCATTGGTTTCGGATGCCACCTGTATCATATAAAAAAAAAGTCCTCATATATATTTACATCTATTTCTGGATGTTTCTTTGCTTTTTTTTTTCTTTTCTTTTTTCTTTTCTAGGACCTTATGTTTAAGTAATCTCTATATCCTCCAACTCTGAGATCAAGAGTTGCACGCCCTACCGACTGAGTCAGCCAGGCCGCCCCTGGATTTTTGTTTTGAAAAACCTTCTGATAACCTGTTTTTTTTTTAATTTTGGTTCCGGGGCTCCTGGATGGCGCAGTCAGTTAAGTGTCTGACACGGGTTTCGGCTCAGGTCACGATCGCAGGGTCCTGGCATCCCTGCTCAGTGCTCAGCTCGGCGGAGTCTGAGATTCTCTCTCCTTCTCCCTCTGCCCTCTCACTCGCGTGCGCTCTCTCTCTCTCAAATAAATCTTTAAATAGAATCGTAAATTAATTTTAAAGTTTTTTTTTTTTTTTAAAGATTTTATTTATTTGACAGAGAGAAGCACAGGGAGAGAGGGAACACAAGCAGGGGGAGGGGGAGAGGGAGAAGCGGACTTCCCGCTGAGCAGGGAGCCCGACGCGGGGCTCGATCCCAGGACCCCGGGATCATGACCTGAGCCGAAGGCAGATGCTTAAGGACTGGGCCACCCAGGCGCCCCCCAATTTTTTAAAAAATTTTTATTGTTATGTTAATCACCACACATTACATCATTAGTTTTAGATGTAGTGTTCCATGATTCATTGTTTGTGCATAACACACAGTGCTCCATGCAGAACGTGCCCTCTTTAATACCCATCACCAGGCTAACCCATCCTCCCACCCCCCTCCCCTCTAGAACCCTCAGTTTGTTTTTCAGAGTCCATTGTCTCTCATGGTTCGTCTGGCGCCCCACAAATTTTTGATTCAACTGATTCTTTGGTGTCACACCTGCTCTGCACCTGTCACCGCGTGGGCCCTGGGATCACACAGGTGAACGTGACCTTGTCCCCGTGGTCAGCCAGGGGCATCTGCCATGCTCTCCCAGTCCTCTCCTGCTGCCCTTCAACCCCATCCGCTCCTCACAGAGCTGTTGGGGAAGCCTATGCACAACCAGAGAACGTCTGCCCGTGCCAAGGCTGCCAACTCCAGGTGCCCCCAAGTGTTCCGTCCTTCGGCTCCAGGGGGCTGTTGGGTCCCTGCCAGCATCCTCAAGTCCAGGCCCCACCGCACCCGCTCTGCCTGGTCCCGCGGCGGCCCTGCCTTCATTTCAGTGTCCCCACTGTCCTCTTACACAGCTCCATCAGGTTCTTTCCATCACCTCAGCTTTCATACCTACTTGAAGAGACCTGGTTGGAGAGACCGACCGTTTTGTTTCCTCGGACTTCCTCGTCCTTCTCTCTGACCCTTCCCTCTCCCCCTCAGTCCTTCTCCCCTTCTCCTTTTCCCCAGTTACAAACAGAAGCTTTTACTTCTACGACTGGCATCAGAACTACCGGGTTAGTCGGTCAGACGTTGCAGTGGGGAAAGGAGATTGTTTTTTCTAGCAATAGCCGGCTAAGCTGAGGCCACATATACCCTGTGTTCAAAATGACTCGAGGGCTGCCTGGGTGCCTCAGTCGTTAAGCGTCTGCCTTCGGCTCGGGTCATGATCACAGAGTCCTGGGATCGAGCCCCGCATCGGGCTCCCTGCTCAGCGGGAAGCCTGCTTCTCCCTCTCCCACTCCGCCTGCTGGTGTTCCCTCTCTCGCTGTGTCTCTCTCTGTCCAATAAATAAATAAAACCTAAAATAAATAAATGAATAAAAATGACTCGAGGTGGGACAGTTTGCCACAGTCTCGCTGCTCAAAGTGTGGTCCCCAGACCAGCAGCACCGGGGTCCCCTGAGCATGTTGGAGATGCAGAACCACAGGCTTTTTAACAAGACTCTCCTGGAATTGCACCAAGTGTTCTGCGACGGGACCTGATGGCTGAGGGAGAGAGACAGAGAGAAGCAGCAAACACAGTTTTCCGGACCTCCACTCTCACCACCAATAGACGCAACCCAACTCCTCACCATTCTTCTCTCACCCTTACCTTCTAAGGCCCTGAGGAGAGTCTGCAAAGCAGTTTCTAGAATCTTCTGGCGGTGAGACAGAGAAAAGGAGGGTGCCCATAACACATGAGCTAAATGTTTCGTTTATCTTTTTAGGTTGTTAGTGACTGGGGAGCCTCCAAGAACTGGAGAGGAGATAATAAAAAAGCACAGGAGAAACTCAGGGTCATTACATGCACTTGAACGTTCCCTGAGAGACGTGAACAATGAAGCGTGGAGCTGTTCCACTGTATTTCTCTGACACGGGTGGGTGTTACTCCAAGCCTGAAAACCTTGGACGTAGGACTACCCCAGAGTTACAGATGATCGAGGCAATGCATGTGGGCCAGCGGAGTGCCTGGCCCCCAACCTCCCACCCCAAATGTGTTCAGGATCCTGGGGCTAAAATAGTAAGGGTTTGTGTGCTGGAGAGCAAGTTGCGTGTCCAGCTAGACCAGATCCGTAAAACTAGTTCGACTCAACCAAGGACGGGGCTTTAAAACTTGCCTGCCATTATTTAGCACCCACTGTGTGCCAGCTAACCCCCACATTTTCTTTTTGGTCTTTCAACAATCCCAAAGAGAAGGTGTTATTTATGGTATTTTACATCTGAAGAAACTAAGGTTGCCAAGGCCCACCTCTCAACTTCTTCAGGTTTCTTCCTCTTCTTCCTCCACCAGCATAAGGGGACCCTTACTCTTGGCTGGTGGTTTTACATTTGGTTAGTGGTGGGTCCTTATTCCCATGCACACTGTGACAAAATGGATCAAACCGATCCCTGTTCAACAGAGGAGAAAACTGAGCTTTAGAAGGAGCTTCCAGCTAACTAGACTTGGGGACAGACTCAGGTGTAGGGCTGGGCTGGATAGAAGAGAAAGGAGAGAAGACAAGACGAGAGAGGAGAGCGGAAAGAGGAGAGAGAAAGAGAAAGAAGGTGGGAGATAAGAAAGGAGACCTTGTCAGTTTGTCCCTACACCAACCACTAGAAAAAGGTGTAGCTCCTTCTTGGTTCAGCCTGGGAGTGAAAAACAGAAAATCCTGTTCAGTTTAAGAGTCACGTCTCCCGAGGCAGGTTTCCTATCTAAACTTCTCCCAAAACGCACTACCGAATAGCGGATCTACAGAACGCCGAGCAACGGGGTAGCTCAAAACCCCGGAAAAAACTAAGCGAACACACGAGAAGAAAAAAAAGAAACTAAAAAGACCCCAAAAGCCCGCTGTAACACGCTCACACTGTTATTGGTCACCATACATTTAACCCCCGAGGGGTGCACCGTGCCCGGAAGTACTGCAATACCAGGTCGATGCGCGGAGTGGACGGAGCAAGCTCCTAGTCCATCTCCCGGCTCCAAAAATCCATTTAATATATTGTCCTCGGTAGAGGACGTATCAGATATTAAACTGATAAGAACAGATACTACACTTGATCTTAGCCAAAAGGCCGAGAAGCGATGCCCGACGCCCCGCCCTCGCCGCCACCGCCCCGGCGCCAGCCATATCGCACTCACGGTGGGCCAAGTCGCGCTCATCCCACCGCTCGCTCCCCTCGCTTCTCGGACAGTGCTATGGCAGTCACCGCCCTGGGGCAGAGTTTTTAGTGCTCTACATTTTAAGATTGGTGCGTCTGTCGTTGCTACGTCTGTCTGTCTGCCTTTCTCTCTCGCTCTCTCTCTGTAACGCCATATCTAATTTGAATGGCCCGCCTTTTCCCCGCCCCGGGAGGCGTGGCCACAGCGGGCCGACCGTCGGGGGCGGGCATTGAATCCGGGATGCGGGGGCTCGGTCTCAACTTGGGTACAGACGGAGAGAAAAGACAGGACCAAAGAGAGTTGGGGGTGACGGCAATAGGGGCCTGTGGAAGGGAGCTGTTGGCGGAGTTCGTCCTGAAGAAGAGTCGCAAGACGTAGTCACTAGAAACGCTTGGACTGTATCGTATTCAGTCGGTCCTACGCCGGCGGAAAGACGATTCTCGTACCTGCCAGTTGAGGAGCTCGTTCTGAGTTAGGGGAGCGGAAGGTGTGGAGGAGGGGCTTCCCGGAGCGGGGAGGGTAGCCTCCCTGCAAGGCGGAAGGCAGATCACAGAAAGTGCCGAGAGAGGAGGCGTGTCACATCGGGAGGCCGGGCTGGGCCGCTGGAGGGATTTTCTCAAACTCCAGTACCGGGGTCTATCCGTGCTTCTGGGAGAATGAATCGTATCTTGGGCTTCGTACGTAAAGCTCCCTGCGCCTGGGACATCGTTTGCCTTCACGTCTTCCTCTCTTGGCTGCTTATGCAGATATCTGGATTCCGCTTGGGTGTCACCTCCCCCTGGAAGCTTTCTTTAAAGACCCTTCTATACCCTACCTCCGGTCTGATGAGCAGTCCTCATGCATTTCATCCCACCTGCTAATTCGTTTCAGGTACACCACTCACTACCTTTTCGGGCAATCCTTGATCTCCCCCACTTGAAATCTGAGATCATTGAGGGAGGTGACCCTCATCAGTATTTATCTCTGTATCCCATCACTAGCTTAGTGCTTGGCAGGTAGTAGGTGGGCAGCAAACGTTTGTTGAGTGAAGAAGCGATCCCCAGGTCAGACTGAATCAGAGAGGCAATTAGGAGGCTTCTGGCCTGGTCCAGGGGTGATGGGGCTGGAAGATCTGGTCAGGGGTGTTGGCACACGACAGAGGAGAGATGACTGTCAGGGATGCTCTGGGTATCAAGGCCAATCAATTCCTAAACCCCCTCCCCTGATGTTTCCTTGTGGCAAAGACTGCAGCTGGCTGCTCAGTCAGCATTTACCTTTCATATTCTCCTTCCTAGAGAACTTCAGTTTTGGGTTTTTTTTTTTTTAAGATTTTATTTATTTGCGAGAGAGAGAATGAGAGACAGAGAGCATGAGAGGGAGGAGGGTCAGAGGGAGAAGCAGACTCCCTGCTGAGCAGGGAGCCCGATGTGGGACTCGATCCCGGGACTCCAGGATCATGACCTGAGCCGAAGGCAGTCGTGTAACCAACTGAGCCACCCAGGCGCCCCTAGAGAACTTCAGTTTACTTGGGGTCGTTAATATTTCTTTCATTTGATCTCAGACAAACTAGAAGGTATCATGGATGTAAGACGGAAACCCAGTCAGTCACTTCACCCTGCAGGATGGAGAGCCTGTTCTCAGGTGTTGCCAGCCCCTGGGCCGAGTGCTCTATGTATTACCTCACTTAATTCACTCGACAACCCTACAAGGTGGATATTATTGTAATTATCCAGGGCCAGGATTGTGGTGAGGTCAATGAGACCCCCCTCCTTGGGGGGGCGATTTAAGAGAATGTCCCCCCAAAAACTCTTAATAATTAATAAATAACAATTAAATTAATAATATTTTAAGATCGGGGATGCCTGTGTGGCTCAGTGGGTTGAGCGTCTGCCTTTGGCTCAAGTCATGATCCCAGGGTCCTGGTATCCAGTCCCAAGGGGGGCTCCCTGCTCAGTGGGGAGCCTGCTTCTCCCTCTCCCTCAGCTGCTCCCCCTGCTTCTGCTTGCTCTCTCTTTCTGTCAAATAAATAAATAAAATCTTTAAAAAATAATATTTTAAGACAATTTATTTAGATATATTCACGAATATACAGATATTATTGGTTTATTTGCTTCTCACCTTGTAGAGGTTTTGTTGCTACTCTATCCCCAGCACCTCAGACAGTGCTCAGCACATATTTGGCGCCTGATAAATATTTGTTGAATGAGGGGCGCCTGGGTGGCTTAGTCGTTAAGCATCTGCCTTCGGCTCACATCATGATCCCAGGGTCCTGTTATCCAGTCCCAAGGGGGGCTCCCTGCTCAGCGGGAAGCCTGCTTCTCCCTCTCCCGCTCCCCCTGCTTGTGTTCCCTCTCTCACTGTGTCTCTCTCTGTCAAATAAATAAATAAAATCTTTAAAAAAACCCAAAATTTGTTGAATGAATGCATGAGAGTCACACGAAACAATACATAATGTGCTTAGCTTGTACCCTACATGACTCTTCATTCCTTCTAATCCCATGGTCTCTGTTCAGATCTGTTTGTATCAGACCATCTTATTATACTCACTAATTTGGTTTTGCTGAGAGGGCGTTGCTATGGTTTGAACACCCCAAGCATTTGTTCATCTCTCACTGGCCTTCTTGTCCTGCCTGGTGTTCGGGCCATTTGGGCAGGTGTCTTAGTCCCCATCCCAAGTTGGATGAGCCCCAAGGGCAGAAACGGGGTCTGGCCCCTCTCTATTTCCAGCACCTGCCCAGGTATGTCACATCATGTTACAGGTGATTAATGACAGAAAATAATTATAAAAAACAAAACATACAGTTAAAAAAAATGGGCAAAGGCCAGGCACAGACAATTCACAGAAAGTAAAAAGTGGTTCTCAAGCTAACATATAAAATTAAATAGAAACTATACCAAGATATATTTTTTCCCATCTCTTGCCCCCTCTCCCTCTGTATTCTTTTCCTCCTGCTGGGCTTGCTGCAGACCCCACTGGCTACCCAGAACCTCCATGTGGAGGAGGCCAACAGGAGTTCCAATTCAGAGGCCAAGAAACTTGTTCATGGGGCTCAACTCTTCTCTGTGACTTTTTTTTTAGTGTCCCTGTGTGTGAGCCAGATGCTGTTTATGGCACATTCATGGTCACAGTCTTACTTAATCTTAAAAAAAAAAAAAAGTAAACTCTACCCCCAAGTTAGGGCTTGAATTCACAACCCTGAGATCAAGAGTCACACGCTCCACCATCTGGGCCAACCAGGTGTCCCTCATTTAATCTCTACAACACCCTTGAGAAGTGTTAATGTCCCCAGGTCTCAGAGAGCAAAGCCAGCTCACAGAAGCTGCCTGACTCACCCTGGGTATTTCCAAAAGTCTTCCAAGTCCAAAGGTCTTCCCAGTAGGCAAGGTGGCCAGCTGTCAGACAAAACTCTTAGTTCATTCATTCCTTTATCTAACAATGATTGCTGAGGAGAGATCCATTAGAGGCTTGGGATAATAAGCCTCTAGACCCATTAGAAGCCTGGGATTATAACAGATCTCTGTTGTAGATTTGCAGGAGAACATTTAAAGTACTCATCGTCAGGGAAAATGCACAGCCTTTAGGGTAACTTTCTATTAATCTGTTCTAGACCCTTGCTGCTCAAAGTGTGGTCTGTGAACATCAGCATCTGTACTACCTGGGAGCTGGTTAGAAATGCAGAAATTTGGGCACCACATCAGATCTACTGTCTTAGTTTGCTCTGGCGACCATAACAAAATACCATAGACCGGTCGGGCCCTTAAATAACAGAAATTTCTTTTCTCACAGCGGAGGACTCTGAAGTCCCAGTTCAGCCTGCTAGCCTGGTAGGGCTTTGGTGAGGTCCCTCTTGGCTCACAGATGGCCACCTTCTCCGTGTGGTAGAGAGAGAACAAGCTCTCTGGTGCCTCTTCTAAGGGAACTAATCCCATCCTGAGGGTCCCACTCTCATGACCTCATCTAACCATTACCCTCCAAAAGGCCTCCCCTCTAAATACCATCACACATTATACACTTGTATAAATGGCAATGATGCCATTTATACATGGCATCAATGTATAAATATTGAATATATATTGGAATAAAATATTGAATATTCAATATATAAACTGGGGGGTGGGGCACAAGTCAGTCTATAACACCTACTGAACCATAATCTGCATTTTAATAGGGTCCACAGGAGGTTCATATGCACATGAAATTCTAAAAAGCAATGCTTTAAGTCATATACATTGGAAAAAAAATGGCAGCCAAGGATCAATTTGTACATGTCACTTTGTGTGTTATCTGGGGAAGATATTCCATATTAAACTGGTTTCCTGGGTCAAATTTTTTTTTGTTATTGGTTGAGATAAACTAATTTAATAGAATTATCATGATAGCTACAGGCATAGAAGCCTTAATATAGGCCAAGCCCTTTGCGGACCACTTCACACATTTAACCTTGTTCAGTTTTTTTTTTTTTATTAAAGATTTTTATTTATTTATTCATGAGAGACACAGAGAGAGAGAGGCAGAGGGAGAAGCAGGCTCCCAAGGAGCAGAGAGCCCGATGCGGGACTCGATCCCAGGACCCTGGGATCATGACCTGAGCCGAAGGCAGACGCTTAACCATCTGAGCCACCCAGGCGCCCTAACCTTGTTTAGTTCTCATAACAACCATGTGAGGTAAGTATTATCCCATTTTACAGATGAAGAGGTTGAGGGCTCACTGGAAATGTTAAAGTCAGGACTGGAACTCATCTTTTAAGCCAGTGGTCCTCGTAGTTTGGCCCCCAGACCAGCATCATCAGTATTACCTGAGAAGTTGCTATAAATGCACATTTTTGGGCCTGTGAACCCAAGACCAACTGAATCAGAAATTCTGGAGGTGGGGCTCAGCAATCTGTGTTTTTGGTAAGTCCTCTAGATGATTCTGATATACTCTCAAATTTGAGAACCACGGTTTGAAGCTACACTACCACTCCGTGTGTGCAAGACAACATGGAGGGCTTGGCAGAGAAACCCCCCCCATCAGGGGAGAAAGACTGAATCAAATGGATGAGGTTATGGGGGACTGGCCCCTGTTGCGAATACTCCAAAGAACCCACCTAGCTTGGATACCTGGGCAGTCACCCTCTTCCCTCTGGAGCATGGACCTGGCTTTCTCCCTTCTCTCACTCTCAGTTTGGTTGTTCCTTGCTTCCGGATTATTATCACCCTCCTGGGGCTCTCGTTGCTGTTTCTGGCTGACCACCCAAATCCCTTCCTCCAGCCCTCCCCTGAGTGCCAAGCTCCTGCGCAAATGCACGCTGCACATCTGTCCTCACAGACACCCAAACATGGCTGCCACTGACCTCATAACCTTCCCTGCCCTAGAGCTTCCTCCTGCCTCAGCCTTCTCTGCATCTGTCATTAGGCCTTCAGTAACAGTATGGGAAATGTAATTGAAATTAGAGTTTCTGCTCAAATAATGTTTTTTGTTTGTTTTTGTTTTTTAAGTAGGCTTTACACTGAGCATGGAGCCCAATGCGGGGCTTGAACTCACGACCCTGAGGTCAAGCCCGGAGCTGGGACTCTTAACCTACTGGGCCACCCAGGTGCCCTTCCAATCATGTTCATTTAAATCTGATCTCAGCTCCACAGAAAAACTTGAAGAGAGTAGATTTTTCATTCCCAGTCTCAAACTGCAGGAAAGGCTCTGTCTGAAAGGAAGACTCCAGAAGGAGGCAAAGGAACCTGCATATAACTTACATGCATATAACTTCCCCTCTACTCCTCCACTTTTCTTCAGGGATCAGTCAGTGACAAACATATCCACCAGGGGGCGGCATCTGCTCCTTTCTAGCCCTAAGGCTGGGGCCCTGGGACTGGGTTTTGGGAGAGTTGCATCTGAAAGGGCCCTGTGACTGGAGAAGGGTGCCTATGGGGCCCTTACACACATTTTTTTTTTTCATTTCACACTCATTCTAAGAGGTAGGTTGTGTTTTCTCCATTTTGTTCTTGAGGAAATAAAGCTAGGATTTGAAAAATGGGTCTTTGAGGGGGCGCCTGAGCGGCTCAGTTGGGTTGAGTGGCCGACTTTTGGTTTACGCTCACACTATGGTCTCCTGGTCATGGTCTCAGGGTCGTGGGATTGAGCCCCGAGTCGGGTTCCACGTTCCTCAGGGAGTCAGCTTGAGGATTCACTCTTCCCCCGCCGCCCCTCCCCTTGCTCTCTCGCTCTCTCTCAAAGAAATAAACCTTAAAAAAAAAAATAAGAAAAAGAAAAATGGCACCTGGCTGACTCAATTGTAGAGTATGTGACCTTTTTTTTTTTTTTTTTTAAGATTTATTTATTTATTTGAGAGAGAAAGAAAGCGCACGAGCGGGGAGCGGGGTCGGGGGGAGGGAGGGACAGAGGAAGAGACAGAAGCAGGCTGAATCTGCAGACACTTAACAGACTGAGCCGCCCAGGCGCCCCAAGCATGTGACTCTTGATCTTGGGGTTGAGAATTCCAGTCTCACATTGGGCAGAGAGCTTACAAGAAAGAAAGAAAGAAAAAGAAAGAGAGAGAGAGAAAGAAAGGAAGAAAGAAAGGAAAGAAAGAAAGAAAGAAAGAAAGAAAAAGAAAGAAAGATGATAGATAGATAGATAGATAGATAGATAGATAGATAGATAGACAGACAGACAGACGGGTCTTTGTGATTCCCAAGCTGCTTGCTGCTTCTTTGGCTTCCCTCCCTCACTGCTCACTCCTGCAGACTCCTTTCCTCCCTTCATTTGTGCGCTGAGACAGGTATTTGTTTAGGGTACTGTGGAGACAAAGATGTCCTCAGCCTCTTCCTTGGTGAGCTCCTTCATCTTCTATCCTCGGCTATTCCTGAGTATGGACTGTTGGTGGGGGACGGGACCTGGAATCGCCTAAGCCCTGGGGGGGCGAAGTGACTTTTCCAAGCCAGTCTACTGGTGAGGGACAGGACTCACCCTGACTCTCCGCCCAAGGTTTCAGCACGCCAGGCCTTGACGGGGGCCTCTCTCTCCAGTGTCATCCTCACCCCTGGCCTCTGTTTTTCCTCCTCTAAGAAGTTCCTCATCCTCAATAAAGACCCAAGAGTTCAATACTACCTAGACCTTGCCCGGAAATGCAGGGTTTTATAGGCATTCCTGGCTAACCCAGTATCAACAGAACCCTCAAGGGCTGAGGAACCCCAGACCAGGAATCTCCCAGGCTAAGGATAGATGTTTGGTTCTCATACTCAGGGATACCCCTCAGTACATTTAATCATTTTGTCATGCATCCATGAATTTATGCAAGATTTCCTGACTGTCTGTTGTGTGCCAGGCACAGCACTGGGCACCTTGGAACTGTAGATGACAGGAACCAGCTCCTGGGCTCAGGGCTTCATCTGGTGGGGAGACAGCTCTGGGGACGAACGATGACATAGCAGCTGGAATCTCATCCACGTGGGGGAGCCCACAGAAGGAAGTGGGTAGCTCCCAGCTAGTCATTCTGTTTTGAACGCTGACCTGACCCCTGTCACTTAAGCCTTGGCTCTAATGTCACCTATTGGAGAAGCCTTCCTGAGCAGCCTGCTCCCTCCAGTCTGAAGTAGTTTCTTTCCCAAGTTTCTCTCTGACACATCTCCCTGTTTTATTTCCATTGATGGCAAGTATCACCATCTGAAACCATCTTCTTTATTCATTGCCTGTCTCTCCCCTCTAGAATGTACACTCCAAGAGGGCAGGTCCTTATCCATCTCACTCAGGCTGTATGCTCAGAACCTAGCAGGCACTCCATGTATGATTGTTCAATGTACAAATGTTCAAATGTTCTCTGCAGTGAATCCCCCAATACAGGAGGTCCTGGGCTGTGATCTTGTGGAGAGAAAGGGCTGCAGAGGTGAGGTTGCCAGGAAGGAACACGGTCATTAATGGAGGAAGGCTCCCTGGGGACAGGGTATGTGTGTTTGTGTGTGTGTGTGGGGGGGGACTGGAGTTTCCATTTAAAGGGGACAAATTGCAGTAAGCCCATAGCCTAGTGCTGCCCTGAGAAGCTGGGCCCCTTCCCTCACCTCTCCCTGCCCCACCTCTTCCTCCCCATTTGTTCATCAACACCTCTGGCAAACCAGAAAGATGAAGGGTGGGGTAGGATTGCCAGTTTTATCGCTTTTATCAGATAATCAAGTGACAATTTCCCTCTCGGTTGGGAGGCCCAGGAAGTTTCAAAGGTTGCAGAAGAAACATGAGACAATCTGTGTTTCTCATTACTGTGTGTTTTCAGTTTCACAGCGTTGTAACATTTGCTCAATGCCAAGTTTGGCCAATTTCTAGCAGACTCACCTTGGACAAATTACCTAACTTTTCAGTGCTTCTTTCTTTCTGGAATAACCATACTTACTTCTTCTAAGTATGGGGTGCCTGGCTGGCTCGGTGGGTGGGACACGTGGCTCTTGATCTTGGGGTCGTGAGTTCAGGCCCCACGTTGGGTGTAGAGCTTACTTTAAAAAAATTAAAACTAAAAAAAAATAAAAAAGGAAAAGTATGCAGAGTTCTCAGACCAGAGCCTGGCATGCAGTGGCCACTCAACACAGTAGTAGTTTCCAACTTCGTGGCCTGCTGTCTTTCCCTCTCCAAACACAGGCCACCTCTGTGTCTTAGCTCCTGTGGCAATCTGCCACCGCCCCAATATGGAGTGTAACACTAATTTCCTAAGGTCTTTATGTCTTTGGGGATTCAAGGAGGCTCCTTGCATTGCTGGGGAAACCAGGTGGCTGGTTTTAGAGGAGGGAGGGGAAGCAGGAGGTGGCAAGGCAGACTGATGCTAAACGGATGGGAGGCCAGTGGGCAGGAAAGGGCTAGGTCCTCCTGTCTAGCAGGGACTTCCCCTACTCTTTTCCCCATCCCCCTCAAATATAACCTTTAAAAAGGGTTAATACTGAATTACACAGTAAATGTAAGAATCCAGCCTCCTTGTAAAAAAGGAAATAATAGGGTTATGATCTTATTCTCCTTTGATCCTCCTCCCTTCCTTCAATTTTACTTACCTCCCCCTGCAGGTAATCACTGATATCCTTTTGGTCACACTGTCCTTTTGTGACATCTCCTCCTCTTCAGGGCTGCCCAGATCGTATCAGGCTGCAATGGCTGGGGAGATGCCACTCAGTCCTCTCCCCCTCCTAACCAATCCTACACAGGACTCATTAACTTACAGAAAACTTTCCAGAAGCTTCCAGTTCACACCTTCTCTCCCTCCTCTGAAGTCCTACGAGGACTTATCTCAGGTTTACAAAGGCCCAATGTTCCCTGTCAGTGGCCAGTCTTGTTTTTTTCACTAGAGTTTAAGCCCTTTGAGGCCAGGCCCTGTGGCCTCCGCATCCTCTATATCCGCAGAGTCTCTCTGGCAGAGCACACAGTATGAATGAGGTCAGTCAAAGTCCTGAGGAGTGAAGAATTCTCTCTTTACCTATTTGAACAAGGGAGGGCCTTGGAGTGTCTGCTTCTGGTCAGCACCCTAACCAGCAGTTGAGGGATTTCTGCTGAGGATGCCTAACCCTATGGCCTTCTCGATGAGAGAGGAGGGATAGCTATGCCGTCAGGGGCCCAGACACCGGATTCAGACAGATCCTTGCTCAGCCACTTCCTGGCTAGGTGACCTTAGACAAGTCATTGAACCCTTCGGAGCTCTCCTCCCCTGTAGAATGCAGACAGCACCAGTCCCTACCTTACGGGCTGCTGTGAGGATCAATGGGGTAATGGGCTTAGGCTTAGGCTGTTTCATGAGGTTCCGGGATTACACAGGTTTGAACACTGACTTAGGAAAGATAAAGGAGTAAGATTTGTGAGCACCTCTCCAGCAGACCCTGGCGGGGGCAGTGTGTACGTAGGGTGGCTATCTCGGGGTGGGCGGGGGGTGGGGGGAGGAGGATGCCGCCGTGCGGACTACGAAGCGCTTCACCTCTCCAAGTCAAACGCTGCCACGTCTGTCCCTCTCACTTTCCATCCCGAGTTTACCTCCAAATATTAGACTATGGGAGAAAAGATCAAATAAAACGTTCACTGATCGAGCACACGTCCACCGCTGGGTTGTCGGGGGTCGCCGGGCACGTATCTCCAGGCCCCGCCCCGCCCCGCCCCTCCCCGCCGCCGCGGGACTGCTCATTGGCCCGCGCTGCGTGACGTTACGCGCGGCTTTTTAAGGCGGAGTCGCGGAGCCGGCTCCGCAGTGGCAGCAGCGCCGGCGGTGGTGGCGGCGGTGGCACGCGCTGGGGGCGGGCGTGCCGTTTCGCGTGGAGGCTCGGGTGGCTGGCCTGGGGAGAGTGCGGCTGCCGGAAGGTAAAGGGGCTGTTCAGGCGGAGCTGAGGTGGCTCCGGTGCGGGGAGCTGGAGTCGGCGATCCGGGCAAGGCGAAGTGTCACGGGACAGTGGGAAGGGGGTCGCGGTGTTAAGGAGGGTCGTGTCAACCGCTTGGGGACGTTGGAGGGCAGGCGGGAGCGGGCCTTACTCTCCCGTCTGAGCGCCCGTACCCTAACTTAACTGGGGGGCGCTGCCCGACCTGCTCCTTCCTGTGAGGATTCTCGCGTGGGGAATGAGGGTCTCTGCGTCTGCGACCGCGCCACGAGCTCGGAGAAGAGGCGCGGGAAGCCGACCATCTCCAGATCAAGGCCTCACCCCCCAACCTGTGTCCAGGCCCCGGGGGTCTCTGTAGATCTCGTCTCCCCTGAAAGCGGGGAGCGCCTCTGTTACACTTGGAGCTGTTTAAAAAACAAAACAAAAACTGGAATTTTAAAAAGGAAGGATGGGCGACTGATTTAGGACAGGATCTAGAAGTTGCACATTTCATGTTTATTTTTAAACGTCTCCTTTTTTTCTCCCATGACTTTTTCCCGTTCAGATAACCCAGCCGCGGTCCCCAAAGCCTGCAGTTCAAGGCCACCTTCCTGCCTCTCCTGTGTACCCCCTGACCTGCACCTTAGCTGGAGCTCACCATGGGGAACCACTTGACTGAGATGGCTCCCACTGCCTCCTCTTTCTTGCCCCACTTCCAGGCCCTGCATGTCGTGGTCGTTGGGCTGGACTCTGCTGGAAAGACCTCGCTCCTTTACCGCCTCAAGTTCAAGGAGTTTGTCCAGAGCGTACCCACCAAAGGCTTCAACACAGAGAAGATCCGGGTGCCCCTGGGAGGGTCCCGTGGCATCACCTTCCAAGTGTGGGATGTCGGGGGGCAAGAGAAGCTGCGACCACTGTGGCGCTCCTACACACGTCGGACAGACGGGCTGGTGTTTGTGGTGGATGCTGCCGAGGCTGAGCGCCTGGAGGAGGCCAAGGTGGAGCTACACCGAATCAGCCGGGCTTCGGACAACCAGGGCGTGCCTGTGCTCGTGCTGGCCAATAAGCAGGATCAGCCTGGGGCACTGAGCGCTGCAGAGGTTGAGAAGAGGCTCTCGGTTCGAGAGCTTGCAGCCGCCACGCTCACCCATGTGCAGGGCTGCAGTGCTGTGGACGGGCTGGGCCTGCAGCCGGGCCTGGAGCGCCTGTACGAGATGATCCTCAAGAGGAAGAAGGCAGCCCGGGTAGGCAAGAAGAGACGGTGACCCGAGGCTGTCCCCTTCTCACCAGTAGGGGTCTGTACACCTGGACAGCCAGGCGGAGCCTGTGGCCCCTCCCTCAGCTCTGGGGTGCAGGACCTGTCCGCCTCAATGAAGGACGGAGGAGCACACTGGGGGTCCTGTTCTAGTGCAGCATTGGGGAGGGGAGGGGAGATGGGATGTCTTCTCCTCTCCCTCCCTCATCCCCACCTCTGGAGAAAAGAGGGCTGCAGGACTGGGGGGGCTTAAATGTAAGCTTTGACTCTACCTCGACCCTGTTTCTTCTTTTCTTCTCTGGCTTGTTGATGAGATGTGTTTTGGAGCAAAAGAAGGTTGTTGGGAGCAAAAGAAGGTTGTTTGGAGAATGCATTTGGGATGAACGAGGACTGTCTCCCCACCTCCAGCCCCCCATCTGGGGTGTCCCCCAGGCTGCTTTTCTAAGGATGCTAGTCACAATAGTCTTTATTTTTGTGTCTGTGTGAAAGTGCCAGGAACCCTTCCCCACATTTGTAGATCCACAACTGTTTTTATAAGCCGTGTGTGTCCTCTGTAGTATTATTAACTATTTTTTAGCATTTGCCTATAAGTTATTAAAGACTGATGATACTGTAGCTCTGACCTTGGTCTGGCATTTTCTTACCCAGCCCCAGGAGTAGTCCCAGATTTCTGTATGGGTGGCAGGAATGGGTGGGGGTAGTTTTATCTTGAAGCTGAATTTGCAAAGGAAACACGGGATGGCTGGTGGAAATTACAGATGGAGTTGAAATTGCCCTCTCCCAAGCTATTACCTGATTTCTGCAGGTTTTTTTGGGGGGTGTCCCTTCTTTCTCCTGCTTCCTCCCCCCTCCCCTCATCCCCTGGCTCTTACTTGCCCCTCATACCAGCTGGTCCTTGGGGACACTTTCCTAGGTTTATATAGGTAAGTCCTCAAGGAGCCATTCTGTTCTCATCCTCCCCCACTCCTGGGCACTCAGGCTGATCTGTTTTTTTTTTCCACCTTGGGGGATCCTGTGAATATGGAAAGTAATTCCTTCCTGGCTTTCAGCCATCTCCGTGTGCTGAATCCTGCTGACCACAGCTCACTGGCCGCAGCGGCAGGGACTGGTGCTGGGGAGGTCTGGGCTGGATTGAGCCAGCCCGGGCCTGGTGACTAAGCTGTGAGTTGTCCAGCTCTGGGAATGGTGGCTGTTCCCACAAGAGGGGCTGTAATAGTAGTCGCGGTTTGTGCCTGGTGGGAGTGTGGACTACTAGACATCCACTCCCCACTCCAGGGGAGGAGGGGGAAGATGTAGGCCACCAATAGCGGTAATAAGAATAATATGCTAGGGGCACCTGGGTGGCTCGGTTGGTTAAGCGTCTGCCTTTAGCTCAGGTCATGATCTCAGGGTCTGGCATCCAGCCCTGTCATGGGCTCCCCGCTTAGCAGGGAGTCTGCTTCTCCCTCTCCCTTTGCTCCTCCCCCTGCTCATGCTCTCTCTCTGAAATAAATACAATCTTTAAAAAAAAAAAAAAAAAAAAAGAATAAAATGCTAATGTTTTGAGGTCCAGAGGGCCTCTGCCCAGACTTTCAAGTCTGCCCCCTCCACCGACACCCAGGGCCGGCTGAGTCTGAGATGATGAAAAATCAGATCCTCCTAATCTGGATGGGGGTAGTGGGTAAAAACCAAGCACAATTCTTTCCACCCCTCAGCCCCCCCTGTCCCTCCCCTACCCTTTGTGCAAACGTGGGATCCAGAGCAGGTTCAGAGTCCCCACTCCAGAATCGAATAAAGGACCTTGGGAGGGAGAGAAGGTGCCGGCAATCCTGTCCTGGGGGACTTCCTAAGGAACTTGCTTCTTCCTAGCTAGGGTCAGCAGAAGCTGAGTTTTGCTGTGGAGTCCGGGCTGATTCATATTTGTCCCCCTTCATGGCTGGCAGGATGCGGGTAGGTATGCATCGATCCGGAAGGGTGCCCGAGTGTGCGTCAGTGCAGGGCCTGCTTGACAGAGCTGCTGGGCTGGTTCTGCTGGGGACACATGCTACCTGGCCCCCCTCTACGCACACTTGTGACTCATCTCACTCAGTCCTCAGGGCAGAGTCCTCTTCTGCCCAGGAACAGGCTGGGGAGGACTTGGCTAGAAGGGCCTCTGTCCTGCTGGGAGATCTTTCTTCCTCACTCCACCCCAATAATGCCCTTTTGTCTCAGAATCTCCAAGGACATGTTTTCTCCATTTCTGGTCACCTGGGGGACTGAGGTCTCCAGATTGGAAGAAGAGCACACCCCCTCCCCCTGCAGAGGGGCCTCCATGGGGCCAGCTCCTGGTTCTGGCTCTGCCAACTACCTGACCTCCCCCTCTGGTTAGAACCATCTTCTGCTCCCCCAGACTCCAACGCTGGGCAGGAACCATGGTTCACAGGAGACTGCCAATGTCCCAGCTCTTCTCCACATTCCTCTGGCCTGACCAGCTGGTGGGGGTGGAGGAAGGGGTGTTGGCAGCCAGAGAGTGAGATGGAGAAGCCAACTGCTTTGAAGGGGTTGTGGGGAGAGGGGAGCCCTGGAAGATTCTGGTAAGAAAGCTACATTCTGGCTGGGTGGGGATCAGGAGTTTTGGAATAATCCTCTTGCCTCCGTCCATCCTGCCACAGGGATTCTTCTTTTTTTTTTTTTAAGATTTATTTATTTATTTAAGGGAGGGAGGGGCAGAGGGAGAGAATCTTTCAAGCCAACTTCCCCCTGAGCACGGAGCCCCAGGTGGGGCTCGATTTCAGGACCCTGAGATCATGACCTGAGCCAAAATCAAGATTCAGACACTTTTTTTTAATAAAGATTTTATTTATTTATTTGAGAGAGAATGAGAGAGAGAGAAAGAGAGCACATGAGAGGGGGAGGGTCAGAGGGAAAAGCAGACTCCCTGCTTAGCAGGGAGCCAGATGCGGGACTCATCCCATCCCGGGACTCCAGGATCATGACCTGAGCTGAAGGCAGTTGTTTAACCAACTGAGCCACCCAGGTGCCCCCAAGATTCAGACACTTAACCAACTAAGTCACCTGGGCACCCCTGCCCCAGGGATTCTGCATGCTGAGCTCTGGCCACAGGCTTGGAATGGGGGTGGGATCAGGGTTGGAGGTAGGCTGTATTTTCCTTGTCCCGGCTTCTTTATCAAGTAGAATTTATTTGAGGCCCTGAGATGGATGTTGAGATGCTGAGGGCAGAGGGTCTCAGGGGGCCAGGAGTGGTTGTTAGGGGCTGGTGGGGGGGGGCTGTGGGTAGGGTGGAAGGCTCCCTCTGAGCTGCCCTTCCCCCACCAGCCACCTCCTCTCCTTGCACAAGCTGGTTGGTAACATCCAGGTGGACCCCACTTGCCCTGGGGGCCTTGCCCATCCCCCAGCAAAGATGGCAGTGGTCCCTCACCTCCTCTGCCCTCTCCAGTCATCCTGTGCTGTGAGTGCTCCAGGCAGAGAGAAAACAAAGAGGAAGGAAAGAAGTCTCTAAGGCCCAGAGGATGCAGCAACTTGCCCAAGAACACATAGCTACTTAGCGGCACATCCAGATCCTTCCTCCCAGGCTGGCTTTTTGTACTCCCAGGGCCAGACAGATAGGAGATGGGCCACAAGTCTAGCAATTCAGAGCTCCCACTGTCCCTTCCCTCTCTCCTTCCCTCCCTGCGTCCCCTCCCTGATTAGTTCAAAGGCCAGCTTTCCGCTCCCCTGCTCCCCTTCCTGAGGAGTTGGAGCTTTATCTCTGAAGTCCAGAACTCTGGCCTCAAATCTGGCCAGAAGTCCCCACCCTCCTTTCCCACTGACCACATGTCATCCCAAGTCTTGCTTGAGATGGACTCCTCCACAGAGGCCTGGGAAGCACAGACTTCCACTGAGGCACTGGGGCATGCACAGGACAGTGTTTTCTCTAAAACAGGCCTTTTGTGAATGGAGGCCAGTGGGAGCAGAGGGAGTGAAGACAGTAAGGGAGGCCCAGGCCAGCACTGGGCTGTAAAGCGTGGGCAGGCTGTAGCCACACATCACTTCCAAGGCCATCAGCGGGGGAGTTTGTGGGTGGGTGTCATGGGACCTCCTCCCCTGGCTAAACCAGAGGAGGGGATTTGTTCTTCCTTCCTTTACAAAAAAAAAAGTGTTTTCTTTTTTTTCTGTCCACCCCCCCTCCCCGCCTGATTACAAAAGTAACAGATCTTTTTGTAAAGAAACTTAGAAAATGGAGAACCCCATAATCTAAATTTCTGAGCTAGCTAAATGTCGGGGACAGGTTTTTATATATAATCTTTCAGATATTTTTTTTCTCTGCATATACAAAAGAGGTATGTATTAATATCCAACACAGAGGGAATTATAGGAGGCATATGGTGGTAGAGTTTTGCTTTTCTCATTTATATCTTGGGCATTATTCAATGATGGGACATATGGGTTTTTCTTGTTCTTTTTGATGACCACGTGAGATTCCACCATCTGAATATGCCATCATTTCTTTTTTTTTTTTTTAAGATTTTATTTATTCATTTGAGACACAGAGATACAGAGAGAGAGAGAGAGAGAAAGCATGAGCAGGGAGAGAGGCAAAGGGAGAGGGAGAAGCAGGCTCCTCGCTGAGCCAGGAGCCCGATGCGGGGCTCGATCCCAGGACCCTGGGATCATGACCTGAGCCGCAGGCAGACGCTTAACCATCTGAGCCACCCAGGAGCCCCTATGCCATCATTTCTTAATTAAATCCTCTGTTAAATCCACAGTGTGTCCACAGCGATGACCTCCTTGCACATATTTCTTAGGTATGTAATCATTGTGTCAAAGGGTATGTGTATTTCACATTTTCATAGATGCTGCCAAAATGTGTGTGGAGAGAGGGTTTGTGGGGAAGGAACTTTAATCCAGCCTTCTCATCCTCCATCCCCAGATTTCAAGGCCTCTTCAAGCCAAGGTATGTCTGTGGGTGGGGGATAGACATTATAGCGCCCTTGCTTTCGGGGAGGTAAGAGAAACTCCAGCCACTTGGCAGAAGATTTGCAGGTGTGGGAGGGAGCTTGGGCTGATTTTCCTGGTCTGGGAATTGAACCGCTTGGGGGCTGCCTGGCTGATGGTGGAGGTGGGCAGATGGTGAGGACTCCCTAAGCACCCAGCTTCTCACAGACGTCAGGCAGAGTGGGCGAAACATCTCCGGAAATAAATCCCAGCAACTCAGGGAGGGAGCGTGGCTGAGACAGAGTGCATGCTCCAAAGGGAACATGGAGAGGAGCTCTTCAGTCTGAAGAAGGGCAGCTGAGACCCTGGACTTCCCCCAGGGTGATCCCCACTCTTCTAGCAAGGTCCCCCCACCAGCTGCTCTCGAGCATGGACTCCTGGAACAGGAAGCAGAAGCCCAAAGTATTAGATACCTCGGCCACTCTGGGCTGTGTGGGGTACCACTTCTCTGTTCATTCTGGCCCCTGGGCTAATCTTGGGTCCGTGGCCCTGCAGAATGGGGTGGGGAAGGCGGGAGGGCTTATCTCTTGAGCACCTCCCACCCCCTCCTATGAAATCTGGTGAGCAGTTTGGTGGAGTTGTGCAGGGATGACAGCTGGGTTTTAAAGATTGCTGAGAGTGAGGTTTTGTGCTTTTGATTGTGTTTGTTTTTGCAAGATTATCCATTGCTTTCCATTCCAGAGGCTGACTCTTATCCTTAGGGAGTGAGACGGCAGAACTGCTTACTCACTCTCTGGAACTCTCCCAGGCTGACGTCGGGAGGGACAGAGCCACCCATCTGACCAGGCAGCACCTCAGAAAGGACCCCACAATTGGCCTCAGTTTACACATCTGTAAAGTGAGGGGGTTGAGTAGACAATATTGGATCTTTTCTGGTTCACTTTCTATGGTCTCAGTACAAGGTGGGCATGGGGAACTCCTTCATGATCTTTCTGCCTTCATTTTATCGCCCTCTGAAATTACCTTGTTCGTTTTGTTTTTAAGTTTGCTGTCTGCCTTCATCTCTAGGCTACCCATTCTAGGAGGACAGCCCTCATTCATTTTGTTCACCATGTATCCCTAGGACAGTAGTGGGCATACAGTAGGAGCTCATCTCATACCTGTGAAATGTGGGGTGTCCACTCAGGGGTTGGAGGGCTGGGATATCACCTCAGTGAAGAAGTGGTTTCAGTCTGTAAATAGTGACAGCAACCAGGAAAGAAGCTATCAAGCAAGGTTGGAGAGTTTATCTGGGAAGGCCTCCTGGAGGAAGTGAAGCAGATTTGGAACCCAAGTTAAATATTCTGATTAACAAGGGACTTGGAGGATCATGGGCTTCAGAGCATTTTCTTGCCTCTACCTACTGCTCAGGAGAAAAGATCTGAATCTGAGGTTTAATAAGCATAGTTTTGTTCCTCCCTTCCCAGTAATTAATTACCTGACCTAGGATGCTCCCTAGAGTCTGTTTACCACTCCCCTACCCCTGCTTCTCTCAAGCTCACCCCAGGATAGTCAAGTTAGATTGCCATTCTTCCACCCCAGAGGAACTGAGTGTAGGCTGGTGTCAGGGAAGGGACCCCCAGGGAACTCTAGACCCGTGCTGTCCAATATGGCAGCCACCAGACACATGTGGCAGCCAAGCATAGGAAATGTGGCTGAACTGAACTCAGATATGCCCTGAGTGTGAAATACAACAGATTTCGAAGACTTAGTAAGAGAAAAGAATGTAAAATATCTCATTAATACTTTTTAAAATTATTTTTTAATTTTTAATTTTATTTTTAAAAAGTTTTTATTTATTTGAGAGAGCCAGCGAGCACAAACAAGGGGAGGAGCAGAGGGAGAAGAGAAGCAGGCTCCCCGCTGAGCACAGAGACCGAACTACATGGGGCTCAGTCCCAGGACCCTGGGATCATGACCTGAGCTGAAGGCAGACACTTAACAGACGGAGCCACCCAGGCGCCCTCACATTCTACTTCTATTGACAAGGCAGGTCCAGATATTTGGGGGAAGGAGCATCATGGGGAAAAGAATGGGAGATCCATAGTTCTTCCTTTCTTCTGAAATCAGAAGAGAAACAGACCAAACTGCAGCAGTCTGGCAGGAGGGTAGATTCTAGGAAGGCCTTCTTGATGGGGAGAACTGAAAAACCTGAAAAATCTATATACTCTCCTTCCTGGAAAGCTTTCAGGATAGGTAAAGACTTTGTGTATCTTGAATTATCTTTTTTTTTTTTTTAAAGATTTTATTTATTTATTTGAGACAGAGAGAATGAGAGAGACAGAGAGCACATGAGAGGGGGGGAGGGTCAGAGGGAGAAGCAGACTCCCTGCCGAGCAGGGAGCCC